GAATGGATTAGCCGAAGTGTGGTTTAATTCCATAACTGTGAGCAATTGGGTTGTGACGTGGGGGGAATTTAAGGAGGAATTGTGTCTTAGGTTTGGTGAGAATTTGATGGAGGATGTTGTAGAAGAGTTTAAAAAACTCCAACAGAAAGGGTCAGTTGAGGAGTTTCTGGAAAAATTTGAGGAACTCAAGGCTCATATGCTCATCAGGAATCCTGCTTTGAATGAGTCCCACTTCCTGTCTAGTTTTGTGGGATCTCTCAAAGAAGAAATCAAATATGCTGTCAAATTTTTTAAACCAACAACCTTAAATGGTGCTATAGAATAGGCAAGGATGCAAGAGAAGGCTCTTGAGGCTGTAAGTAAAAAGAAAAAAACCACAAGAAAACCTTACACTAATATTGAAGTTGCCTCAACTGACAAGGTTTCCACCATGCCAGCTAATAAAACAAGCACTTATAGATTGAACCTTGAGGTTTATGAATATAGAAAGACTAATCATCTATGCTTCAAATGTGGAGAAAAGTATGCACCTGGGCATCAATGCAGAAACAAGCAACTAAACTATTTATTTGGGGAGAATGAAAATAGCCCTGAGGCTATAGTAGATCAACTTGAGACTCAAATAGGGGATCCTAATTTAACTGAAATCCTAATTGAAGGAGAGGTTCAACAAGAAGTGCTAGAAGCCATTTGTCTTAGTGCTTTGGCAAGAAGTAATTCTGGAGTGAACTCGATCTTGGTCAGGAGCATTAGCAAAAATATGAGTCTAACATTGTTAGTTGACTTTGGAAGCACTCATAGTTTTATTGATGAGCAAGCAGTGAAGGACACTGGACATGTACCCATTTACAACCCACTAATGAGAGTGACTGTTGCAGATGGAAATTATGTCATGTGCAATGCTATCTGTGCAGGATTTAGCTGGAAAATGCAAGGTAAATAGTTCCAAGAAGATTTGAGAATCATCTAATTGAGTGTGTGTGATATAGTGTTAAGCAACGATTGGATGAAAAAATATAATCCCACCAAATTCGATCATGAAAAAAATGTGTTACAATTGGGAGGAAGGGAAATAAGACTGTACTACATGCCATACCTGAAGCAGGTAGTTTGAGCTTGATCAGTGGGAGTTCTATGGGGAAACTTCTGAGGAAAGGGCATACACTAATGACTCATTTGTTCATGGTAAGTGTGAACCAATTACCAGAATTAGAAGGCATAGCTGATCAAATACATGAGGTACTTGGCAAGTACAATGAAGTTTTTGCAGAACCAAAGGCATTGCCTCCTGTCAGATCCTTAGATCACCAGATTCCATTAACACCTGGTGCTACACCAGTGAGCCTGATTCCATACATGTATAATTACTATCAAAAGGAAGAACTAGAGAAACAGGTAGCAGAGATGCTGCTAAGTGGAACCATTCAACCAAGCCAATCTCCCTTTTCTTCTCCGGCTTTATTAGTAAAGAAAAAAGATGGGACATGGAGGTTTTGTGTAGATTGCAAGGGGTTAAAAGACATTACTATTAAAGACAAGTACCCAATACCCATTGTGGATGATCTTTTAGATGAGTTGCATGGTTCAATAATCGTTTCCAAGGTGGATCTCAGAGCAGGGTACTATCTAAGAAGGCAAAAGATGTGTATAAAACTGCATTCAGAACTCACTTGGGGCACTATGAATTCAGAGTAATGCCATTTGGGCTTACAAATGCCTGATCACGCCCAACTACGCCTTATAAAAGTACTAAGCGATCGCTGCAAATATATAATCCGGTTTAGTCCGGAGTCGAATCCCAAAGGGAACTAACCTATTTACTACAACTTTTAACACTGCTAATAAATAGCTCAAACAATCCCCGAATGCAAGATTTTTAATGGATAATGAGTAGAATTTAGTTAACTAACGAAAAACGATAACAAAAATAGCAATAATCAAGAATAAATTTGAATTCAATGGTAGAATGGTCTAGGGTTATTGATTTCCCCAATTGTCATATTAACTCCTAACACGTTCGCTATAATCTCGCCGTAATACTCTATAAGAATATGAGTTCTAGGTTACCGCAATTATCTCTCGATCAATTACGATAATTTACTAGCAGCATTCTCTCGAACTGCTCTAGTTGCCAATCTATGCAACTCAGAATTATCCCACCAAAGCTTTATTATCTCTAACCCTGCTTTTAAATTCAAGTAATTAATCTCTTAAGTTACCCAAAAGTGGTGTTGTTCAACAACAATCTAACCTAGTATTCTTTCTCAAGAAACACAAGGTAACTAGACACGATTAATCAAGGGCTTAATTATATCAAAATGTAATAAAGACTTCATCCAACAATTGGTTCCATCAACCCTAGATTAAATGTTTAGCTACTCATGGTAAAACAAGATAAAGCTATAAAATAATTCATAATTCACAAACTAATGATAACAGGAAGAAGAATAAAAAACTCTAATGGTGTCTTGATCTTCTTACACTTGTTCTTGCCTCCAATTGAGTCTAAAAACAAGCTTAACCTTAACTTGGGCGAGTTTGTTGAGTTTATATAGGGTTAGGATAAGTTTCCCACGCTTTACACTTTGGCCCTTGGACTTTCTTGGCACTCTCCAGATCGACCCCGGTCGCGGGCCAACCGCGGTCGTTTTAGACCATTCTGTTTTACGCCTTGTTCCACTGCGTTCCAGCCGCGGCCCGACCGCGGTCGCGGTGGACTGTTGCCCATTTTTTTCTTCGCCTTTTCTTGCTCGTTTTCATCTGGGCTCTTTTCGATTGGCCTTGTATCTACCTATTTGATCCCAAAACACTCTATATCCTCCTCCTAACTCGGAGTAGCTCCTACAAAGCATGAAAATCTCAATTAGAGCATTTTATTATCATTTAGCACTTAAATAATCAATAAAGTATGGTTAACTTAGAGCATAAATAACATCTACATCGTATAATATAGGCTACTATCAATGCCCCTGCTACATTTCAGGCATGGATGAATCAGGTCTTCCTACCTTTTCTAAGAAAGTTTGTGTTAGTTTTCTTCGATTATATCTTGGTTTATAGTCAGTCTTTAGCGAATCATACAGACTATCTAGCCATTGTATTTGAGAAATTGAAGAAAAATACTCTTTATGCAAAAAGATCTAAGTGTTCATTTGGGCAGCCTCAAGTTGAATACCTGGGACATGTCATTAATGCTCATGGTGTGGCTATTGATCCTGGCAAGGTGCAGGCCATGGTGAACTGGCCTAAGCCCACCACAATCAAGGCACTTAGAGGGTTTTTTGGGGCTGACTAGATATTACAGAATGTATGTGGCTAATTTTGGTGCCATTTGTAGACCTTTGATAAATCTCTTGAAGAAGGTTTCAGATGGAGTGAAGAAGCTAATCAAGCTTTTGCAGATCTTAAAAGGGCCATGTCCACTACCCCTGTGTTAGCTCTACCTGACTATTCTCAACCTTTTGTGGTTGAGACTGATGCATGTCATTCAGGCATTGGGGCAGTACTGATGCAAAATTGGAGACTAGTAGTTTATTTTAGCAAGGTACTAGCTCTAAGGCATAGGGACAAGTCCATCTATGAGAAAGAGTACATGGCTATACTCAATGCCATAGATAAATGGAGGCACTGCCTTCAGTATAGGCACTTTGTGGTGAGAACTGATCATCATAGCCTGAAGTACTTGCTAGAATAGAAGGTTACCTCAAGTATGCAACAAAAAAGGTTGACTAAGCTCCTAGGCTTAGACAATGAAGTCCAGCACAAAAAAGGGGCTGAGAATATAGTAGCTGATGCACTCTAAAGACAGTTTGAGTCATTGCCTACCGAAGCTCATCATCAAGTAGCAATTTTTGCCATCAGCATGAATGTGCCAGTTTGGGTGCAAGAAATTAGTGAAAGCTATAAAAAAGATGCACTAGCTGATGAGTTGATTGCTCAGCTTGCAGTTGATTTACAAGGACCCCAGATCTAGCAGTATCCTTCTGGAGTTCTAAGTAGGGCTAGGCATAATTTGGTAAATACCGAATTACCGTACCGAAATCGAAAATTTTGGTATTTGGTATACGGTATTTTGGTATTTGGTATGGTATTTGGTTTTAAGTTTTTAAAAAAAATTGGTATTAGGTATGGTATTTGGTATTTTAAGATAAAATACCGAAATACCGATACCGTACCGAAATATATATTATATTACACAAAACAGATATTATCAATTATAACATAAATATAAAAAATCTAAAATCTTACTTTCCTTTATTCTCAAAGTTCATCAATTAACTCTAAACAAGTAACAAGACATTTCTAATGATCAAATATTCTTTTATGTACAATTTTTCTCTATTTGGGTCGATGTTTGGTAGTTTTGGACAAAACTTTTGTCAACAAACATTTTCAGTTTTGTATTTTTGAGTACTTTAATTAAGAATATTAGAGTGTATATCTCTATACACTAGTTAGTATTCAAACCGAATAAACCGAAGTTACCGAACCGAATAAATCGAAACCGAAAGGGAAAAAATCGAACCATACCGAATTTAATTAGGTACGGTATTGGTATAGGATTTTAAGAAGCCGAATACCGAAAATACCGAACCGAAATGTCTAAATACCGTACCGTACCGACCGATGAACACCCCTAGTTCTAAGGATAAAGGGCAAAATTTACATTGGGACCACTGGCACCCTCAGACAACAACTTGTTAAAATCTTCCATGACTTTTCAATAGGAGGGCATTAAGGACAACTAGGAACTTATAAGAGGTTGGCTCAATTGTTCTACTGGCCTCTTATGAAACAAATAACCATCCAATATGTAGCTGAGTGTGATACTTGTTAGAAGAATAAAGATGAAAAGGTGTCATATCCGGGGCTGCTGTAACCACTCCCCATTTCTGATCAAGCTTGGAGACACATCTCTATGGATTTCATTGAAGGATTACCTAAATGTACCAGTAAGGACGTCATTTTTGTTGTGGTGAACCGAATGGCTAAATAACTTTATGGCCTTAACACACCCCTTTACTGCTGTTGATGTAGCCAATAAGTATTGGAAGAGAGTCCACACTTTACATGGTACGCCTGAATCCATAGTCTCTGATAGAGATATGATTTTACTCAGCAACTTTTGGCAAGCCTTATTCAAACTGAAGAGAACTCAACTACTGTACAGTTCAGCTTACCACCCTTGGACTGATGGTCAAACTGAACGAGTGAATAGATGCATCGAGAATTACTTAAGGTGCATGACTAGCCATCGACCTACTCATTGGAAGAATTGGTTGTATTTTGCAGAATGGTGGTACAATACCAATTTTCATACCAGTCTGCATTGTAGTCCATTTGAAGCTTTGTATGGCTTCTCACCTGCACAACTGTCCATGGATCCTCTTTCGAAGACTACAGTCCCTGCTGCTATTGATGTGATGAGCAGAGACAGCAAATGCAACAATTACTCAAGGATAACTTGCAAAAAGCTCAGGAGAGAATGAAGTTGTATACAGATCAAAAGAGAACTGAAAGAGCGTTTCAAGTTGGGGATATGGCATGTTTGAAACTACAGCCCTATAGACAGACATCCTTAGCTCTCAGAAAGAATTTGAAACTTAGCTCCAAGTACTATGAACCTTATCAGATTTGAGTCGAGCTGGACAAGTTGCCTATAAACTGTTACTGCCTCCTACTTCTAAAGTTCATCATGTTTTCCATGTTTCATTGTTAAAAAAGAAAATTGGCTCTAGAGCAGTGGTCCAGTCAGTCTTGCCCATGACCAGTGAAGAAGGCCAATTCCTAGTAAAACCAGTAGCAATCTTGCAAAGACACCTTGTTCAAAAAGGAAATGTTGCTGCTATTAAGGTGCTTATTCGGTGGTCAAACTTACCCCTTGAGGATGCTACATTAAAGGACTATGAATTTATTAAAGCTAAATTTCCAGAGTTTAATACTAATCCTTGAGGATAAGGATTAATTGAAGGAGAATGGTATGTGACCCGAGAAATGCAAATAAAGGGAAATGTAGCCAAGGGAGTTCGAAGCGGAGAGGAGAAGTACAGGAATAACTAACACTAAATCAACGGCCGTGATTGATTTTTAGTTAATGAACTTCAAGGGCTCAGATGTTGCCAGCTGGACTAGTTTGTTATAAAGCTCAACAAACTAGTTGAGCAGGGGTTAATTGAACCAACGGGATTTTTTCCAATTCTCTCTCTTCTCGTCATCTCTTTCTCTTCCTTTCTCTTCCTTTCTCTGCTCTTACAGATCTGTAACCCAGCTATGGGATTCTGATTAGCTCAGTTTCTTTAGTTCTTTTTCATTTCGCTTAGTAGTTTGCAATCGCAGTTGTTTCAATTTCAATATAAACAAAAGACTGTCCCAACATTTTGTTGGGATTTTAAGTATATGATATGCTTAAAATAGGGTGAATGGGAAATGGAGGAAAATGAAATTTTTAAGTGAAATTTTAAGTTTCTCCCCTTGGCAAAGGGACATTGTCCCATATTGGAAGAGGAAGAGGATTTTTATGGGTATATAAGCAATTGCTCTTCTTCTAGCTATTAAAAAGTTGAGAAGAAGGCAAGCCTCGCGCCGTCGTCGTCGCCGCTCACTCGGCTCGGCTTCGACTTCGGCTTCGGCTTCGGCTTCGGATTCGGATTCGGATTTGGATTTGGTCAAGTGATCGATTGATTGATTAATTTTTTGGACCAAATTTATTTGTTAATAGTAAAATATTAACAGAAATATTATTAAATATTTGTTTTTACAACAGAATATTAATATTAAAATAAATATTAATATTAAATCCAATCCGTTTTTCAGTTGTGTAACTGAAAATTAAACTACCCTCTTCAATTTTCCCTCTTTATTGTTGAGTAAATAGCCATTTATGTTATGACATTTATGCTGTGGCCGTTTTGCATAAACAACCATTCTGAAGAGTTGCACCTCTTCAGATTTCAGCCCAACTTTTGCTATAAATACAAGACTATTGTGCTCAAAATTTCCATACGATTTTCTGAGTTTCTCCTCCTCCTTCTGCGTACTTTTAACATTAAACAAAGCAACAGTAAGTGTGATTTGCTACTGAACTTTGTGCTTGCTGAAACATTGGGGTTTGAAGTACCACTACACCAGTGTGTAATTCGTTCTATTCTGGGAGGAAATAATCCACAACCTTGGGTACTAGAAGGGGATTAAATTCCTTAAGGAAACACTGTGAATTCAGTGGGCTCAGTTAAAATTCTGTTTCTGTTTTTCATTTCTATTTATGTTCATTTATATTTTCAGAATTATTTTACAAATATAGTTTACTAACAAGCTTAAGGAATTTAATATATTTTCTGTATTTGTACTCACTGTTTCTGGAGAGTAAAACCTTTGTGGTTTTGTACTCTATTGGAGATTAAAATCTACGTGATTTTAACGTTTGTGTCATTCTTTTACAGAAATGACTAATGATAATGTGAACCAAGTTGTTCCAATGGTGACTGCCAATGCCTCAACGAGCCAAACAACACTGACAGCATTGGCACCGCCGGAGAAACTCGGAAAATTTTTCGGGATTAATTTCAAGCGCTGGCAGCAAAAGATGGTCTTCTACTTGACTACTCTCAGTCTCCAAAAGTTCATCAAGGAAGATGTTCCTGTGCTGTCCGATGAAACTCCAGAGACTGAACGCTTTCTCGTGATTGAGGCATGGAAGCATTCAGATTTTTTGTGCAAGAATTATATTCTAAACGGGCTGGAGGATGCTTTGTATAACGTGTACAGTGGTGTGGAAACGTCAAAAGAACTGTGGACGCTTGAAAAGAAATACAAAACTGAAGATGCCGTGTTGAAGAAGTTCGTTGATGCAAAGTTTTTGGACTACAAAATGGTAGATAGCAAGTCTGTTATTACCCAAGTTCAGGAATTCCAAGTGATTATTCACGATCTCCTTGCTGAAGGTATAAGTAGAATTAATACTAGTGTTGGTAGTATTAATTTTATTATGTTTACTAACAGAATTTTCATTGAAGGTCTTGTCATCAATGAAGCATTCCAAGTACAACGATGATTGAGAAGTTGCCTCCGTCGTGGAAGGACTTCAAAAATTATTTGAAACACAAAAGCAAGGAGATGTCCCTTGAAGATATCATTGTTCGGTTGAGAATCGAAGAGGACAATAAAGCGCTGACAAGAGAGGCCGTGGAAACTCAACAATGATGGGAGCAAATATTATTGAAGAGAACAAAAAGAGGAAGAAGGCTTCTAAATCGAAATACAACCCAAGCGAGAAGCGGTTCAGTAGAAATTGCTACAACTGTGGAAAAGCCATACACAAATCTACGGAGTGTCGTGCTCCGAAGAAAGACAAGAAGAAGGGTCAAGCAAACATGATTGAAAAGCATGATGATGTTGATGACTTGTGTGCCATGCTTTCCGAATGCAACTTGGTAAGCAATCCTAAAGAGTGGTGGATTGATTCTGGAGACACTCGTCATGTTTGTGCTGTTAGAGAAGCTTTTGCTACTTATGCTCCTGTTGGACCCGATGAGACGCTTTCTATGGGAAATGCTGCAAAGGCCAAGATTGAAGGATGTGGGAAGCTATTTATCAAAATGATTTCCGGCAAAGTGGTGACTTTGAACAACGTCCTTCATCTTCCCGAGATTAGGAAGAATTTAGTCTCTGCTGGACTTCTTGTTAAGAATGGTTTTAAATGTGTATTTGTATCCGATAAGATTGTAATAAGTAAGAACGAGATGTTTATAGGAAAAGGTTACCTCACCGAGAGCCTTTTCAAGCTGAATGTAATGGTTATTGAAAATAATAATAAAATTTCAGCTTCGTCCTACTTACTTGAGTCAAATGAATTATGGCATATACATTTGCGTCATGTCAATTATAAAACCTTGCGGAAAATGATTAATTTGGAAGTATTGCCTAAGTTTGAATGTGACAAAGCAAAATGTCAAGTATGTGTGGAATCTAAGTATGTTAAACATCCTTATAAGTCAGTTGAAAGGAATTCAAATCCTTTAGACTTAATTCACACAGGTATTTGTGACATGAAGTCAATACCATCTCGCGGTGGAAAGAAGTATTTCATAACTTTTATTGACGATAGTACTCGATATTGCTATGTTTACTTGCTTAATAGTAAAGATGAAGCAATAGACGCATTCAAGCAATACAAAAATGAAGTTGAAACGCAACTTAACAAGAAAATCAAAATGATAAGAAGTGATAAGGGTGGTGAATATGAATCTCCTTTTGAACAAACATGTTTAGAATTATGGAATTATTCATCAAACAACGGCCCCTTACACGCCCCAATCCAATGGGATTGCAGAAAGAAAGAATCGTTCATTAAAGGAGATGATGAACGCATTATTGATAAGTTCTGGTTTGCCACAGAACTTGTGGGGGGAAGCCGTTCTTACGGCTAGCCGAATACTACATCGAGTACCCCATAGCAAAACACAATCCATTCCATATGAAAAATGGAAAGGAAGGAAGCCCAACTTGAATTATTTTAAAGTGTGGGAGTGTTTGGCAAAAGTGCAAGTTCCTAAACCCAAAAGGGTAAAAATAGGATCGAAAACTGTTGATTGTGTTTTCATAGGATATGCGACTAATAGTAAAGCATATCAATTTCTGGTTCATAAATCAGAAAATCCCGACATTCATAATAATACGGTTATAGAATCAGATAATGCTGAGTTCTTTGAAAATATATATCCGTATAAAAAGGAATGTGAGTCGATTGGTGAAGGATCTAAATGACCTCGGGAAGAAACAAAAGAAAGTACACTTAGTCAGGAGGATCCAAGACGTAGTAAACGTCAAAGAACGTCTACTTCATTTGGAACAGATTTTGTGACTTTCTTATTAGAAAATGAGCCTCAAACATTTAAAGAAGCTATGTCTTCTTCGGAATCATTGTTTTGGAAAGAGGCAGTCAATAGTAAAATAGAATCCATACTGAACAACCATACATGGGAATTGGTTGATCTTCCTCCTGGAAATAAACCGTTGGGTTCTAAATGGATCTTTAAGAGGAAAATGAAAGATGATGGCACTATTGACAAATTTAAGGCAAGACTTGTGGTCAAAGGGTATATACAACGAGAAGGTCTTGAATATTTCGATACATACTCTCCAGTTACTAGAATTACGTCCATACGAACATTAGTAGCGTTAGCTGCAGTTTATGGTCTTAAAATTCATCAAATGGATGTTAAGACAACCTTCTTAAATGGAGAGTTGGAGGAAGAAATTTAAATGGAACAACCTGAAGGGTTTGTGGTTCCAGGTAAAGAAAAGAAGGTATGTAGACTTGTTAAGTCCCTTTACGGACTAAAACAAGCACCCCACACAATGGCATGCGAAATTTGACAAAATAATGTTGTCAAATGGTTTTAAAATAAATGAATGTGATAAATGTGTGTACATTAAAAATGTTCCAAATCACATAGTCATTGTTTGCTTATATGTGGATGATATGCTGATAATGGGTAATGACATCGCCAACATAAATGCGACTAAACACATGCTAACTGGCAAGTTTGATATGAAAGAATTGGGAGTTGCTGATTTAATTCTGGGAATTAAGATCCATAAGACTTCTCAAGGTCTGGCATTGTCACAATCTCATTATATTAAGACAGTACTTGAAAAATTCAAGCACTTGGGCTTTAAAGTTGCAAAGACTCCAATTGACGTGAATCTTGCATTAGCAAAGAACAAATGCCAAAGCATATCACAATTGGATTATGCTCGTGTGTTGGGTTGCTTAATGTACATCATGAATTGTACACGACCAGATATAGCTTGTGCTATAAGTAAGCTGAGTCGATATACGAGCAATCCAGGTCAATCTCATTGGATGGCATGAAACGAGTTTTGGGGTATGTAGTACATACCCAGGACTTTGCTTTGCACTATAGTAAATATCCTGCGTTCATTGAGGGATACAGTGATGCAAATTGGATCACCGGATCAACTGATTCCAAGTCCACAAGTGGATATGTATTCACTATTGGTGGAGGAGCGGTATCTTGGAAGTCGTCCAAACAAACTTGTATTGCCCGCTCTATAATGGAGGCTGAATTCATAGCCTTAGATAAAGCGGGTGAAGAAGCTGAATGGCTCCGAAATTTCTTGGAAGATATTCCATTTTGGCCCAAACCGTTGGCACCAATATGCATACATTGCGATATTCAAGCGGCAATTGGAAGGGCTGGGAGCGTTATGTATAACGGTAAATCTCGTCATATACGACGAAGACATAAAACCGTTAGGCA